GCCCTCGGCAGCCTTTGCAAACCAGGATTTCCTCTGCGGGGGAAGGACGGAAGGAAGGAGAGCGGTAGACCAGCAGGGATCCGTCCTGCGGCCCCAGAAATGGTCCCGTGAAAGAAGAGGCCCCTGGAGACCCCCCAGAGTCCCTGGAGACCTTTGGAGGTGCTCTGCCACAGAGAGGAAGGATGGAGACACCCCCTTTGGCCAAGGAGGGGAGCAGAAAAGGCACTGTGGCTCTTCAGGCTGGGAGCTGTGAGGAGAGCTGGACCAGAACTGGGCAGAAGGTCCTACAGGAGGGAACCATCCTCCCTTCTGAAGTTCCGCCCTGGACCTCCATCCAATACCGGGAGGCTGAGGGTCCCCGAGGACTTTGCAGCCGACTCCATGACTTGTGCAGGCGATGGCTGAGACCAGAAAAGCACAGCAAAGCCCAGATGCTGGACCTGGTGGTTCTGGAGCGGCTCTTGACTCTCCTGCCCCCAGAGATGGAGGACTGGGTGCGGGAGTGTGGAGCAGAGAGCAGCTCCCAGGCGGTGGCCCTGGCGGAAGGCTTCCTCCTGAGCCAGGCGGAGGAGCAGAAGGAGCAGCTCCAGTGGCAGGTGGGAGACTTTAGGGAGCTCGGAAGGGAATAAATAGAGAAAGTGCTTGAATGCTTCACCCCTCCTTCCCAAACTTCTCCCATGTTCATAATACGTGGCAATTCTCCAGTTCTGGTAGGACATTGTTCCATTCTTTTCTCACACAGCCACATGGATGGATATTGGGGGCTTTGAGGTTGTTTTCTGAATATAAGAATCCACTTTATGTCGTGTTATGCCCATTAATTCTGCTTCTTCCTTCTATTTGAAGTGCTGCAGTGTGGAGATCGGAGATCCTGAGGGAAAGAAGAATCCATCAAATCCCCCTCAGGAGCTATTTTTCAGGAGGATCCCTTGGGAAGATCCAAGTCAGGACACCTCAGGAGGTAATGGAAGATCCTCCTATTCCCCATCTGTCTTACCTTTGCTTCCCTTCTCTTCTATAAAATACCTCCTCCTATCTTGTTAATTATGCATTTTGAAATTCTTTATTCCTTACAGAGAAACAAAGAATGAAGCTTCCTGGTTTTTATGTGGGAGATCAAACAGCGGTTGAACCTCCAAATCAAGTAAGAAAGGGAAAAAATACTAGATTTCTATTCTCCCTTCAGGAAGTGAAGAGGGTGTGCAGAGGGCTCTCTCCTTCTGTTTTTCCCCCTCGTTTGGCCTGGATTATTTTTTTGTTATTCCACAACATGGAGAGCAGAATAGTAGATTCAAGTTGCTGTCAGCCGGCATAGCTTCCTCTGGTTACCTTGTTCTGCTAGGTTCTCCTCCAACTTGTAGTTTAGAAGAAGCAATTTTTAAAAAGTCCTTCAAGAAATAGGAATAAACGTATCACAGTGGCAGGAACTGCTAGAGACCCTTTTCTGGTTATTCTTTGACTTGGAATTGTGCAAGGCTAATGAAAAATAAATAGTCACAGTGCCACATTACCATTTTTTAAAAGCCTTATTTATAACCTGTAGTTCAAAAATAAGCAAATTGTATTAAAAAATAAAGCAGACTATTAAAATCCAAAGGGAGTGGCCGTGTTGAGCATGTAATCATAGTACTTTGGGCTACAAGATAATTTCCAATCCTCTGATTTATGCCTTGATTAGGAGATCAAACCTTCCCGCTTTGCAAAGGATGATAAATTATTTTCCCAGGGAATTTTCTCCTCTTTGTTTTCTGCCTTTCAACCAATGGCTCAGACTACTAGATCATTAGATACCTAATTCTAGCAACTGTTCTTTATATGTTTCAGCCTCCAGTCCACTAATAATAGTTGTTGCTCTTCTCTGCACTCTTTCTAGAGTCTCAAGATCTTTTTTACATCTGGCAATGAAAATTGGATATAATATTCCAAGTGTGGTCTTACCAAGGCATTATAAAGTGGTACTAACACTTCATGTCATCTTGATTCTAACCCCCTCTCAATGCAGCCTATAATTTTGTTAGGGTTTGGTTGGGGGGCAACTGTAGCATAGTGTTTACTCAGGTTTAAGTGGTTGTCCACTAGGACTCCAAGATCCCTGTTGCAATTTCTACTGTTGAGCCAGGTATCACCTATTCTATGCCACTGCGTTTGGTTTTCCTATCCTAAATGTAGAACCTTACATTTCTCACTGTTGATTTCCTTTTGTTAGATGAGGCCCAATCTGTCGGTCCTTCTATATCTCGAGCTTATCTTCTGGAGTGCTGGTATTCCTGTCAATCTGGTCTTGTTTGCAAATTTGAAGTTCCCCTTCTATCCTCTTGTCTAAATCAATGAAGATGAACAGATCTTGTGAATCTTCCTGTTCTGTTCTTTTTTCCATGTCCAGGAGAGTCTGGTGTCCTTCGAGGAGGTGGCTGTGTATTTCTCTGAAGAGGAATGGTCTCAGCTGGATCCTGACCAGAAAGCGCTGCATTCGGAAGTCATGCTTGAAAACTATAAGAACGTGGTCTCTCTGGGTAAGAGTTTCCTAGTCCCCAATCAAGAAGAGAGATTATAATTAGTTTTTTTTATTTAAAAAACACTAATCAAATATTGTCTCCTGGGAGGGAGAATGAAAGGATCAGGCCTTCCAAGGAAGGAAAGAGTCAATGTCTCTTTGCTTAGATGCTTTCTGTGCCATTTCTTCTCTGTATTTTCCATTTCTATTTAAACTTCTCTGTGGAGGCTGAAAAGAACAAAGTGCTTTTTTAAAAAAGTTTTTTATTTTAACAACAAACAAAAAATAAGACATACAACATAAAACATAAAAACATCATCCTTCTTCATAAATTTACAAACAGTGTATCGGTTGGTTTACCACTTTTTTAAGAACAAAGTGCTTTTTTAGGTCCTTCTCCCAGTCCAATTCAAGAGCAAAGATCTCATGCAATGTGACTCAGAGCATCCTAGGGTACAAGTAATCCCCAATTACAACAGTTCACTTAGTGACCGTTCCAAGTTATGACCAGCTCTCCCCCAAGTACTTCAGACCCAGTCCCGAAATTATGTGTGTTGCAGCGTCACGGCCATCGTTCACAGCAGAGGCTCTGCAACATTCGCCCTACTTATTCCCCCACCCAGTTTGGACTTATCATATTTTTCGGACTATAAAATGCCCACCACCCCAAAAGTGGAAATGTCTGTGCGTCTTATAGAGCGAATACGGGCCTGTTTTTGGCCTCCCAAGCCCTCCGCGGGTCCGATTTTTGCCTTCCCTGGCATCCAGAAGCACTTTGCCTCCGCCGGCTTCTGCGGCACCCATTTTTGCCCTCCCTGGCATTGGGGAGGCTGAAAATGGGATGCACAGAGGGTTTGTGGGACCAAAAACAGGCCTGTTTTTGTCCTGCAGAGTGCATCTGGATGCCGGGGAGGGCAGAAATGGGACGCGCGGGGGCCAATACCTATTTTTTTTTCTTGCTTTCATTCTCTAAATCTTGGTACATCTTATGATCCAGTGCGTCTTATAGTCCAAAAAATGTGGTACATTGTGATGATGTGGTGAACCATCATTTCCTTTACCTACTTCGGTGCATTTTCAAAAAAAAAAGAGGCCTAAAGTAGTGAGAGACACGTGAGATCACTAGTAGAAAATCTAGCACTATTGATCTCATGTAATCTCGCGCTACAGTGCTTTAGGCCTCTGTTCTCTGCTAACCAAGAACTGCACAAGATCCAGGGCAAAATGCTTTTCAAACAGAGGGAACCCCACTTCATTTTCAAAGACTTTTGCCCTGGATCTGGTGCAGTCCTCAGTTCCTAAAAGAACACAGGCCTAAAGTACTGCAGTGTGAGATCAGGAGAGATTAGTAGCCTGATATCTTAGCGCTACTGGTTTCGTGTGATCTCGCACTAAAGTAATTAGGCCTCCGTTCTCTGCGAAATGTTCCAGATCCGGCCAAAGAGCCCTTGCACGCTGATCAGGCTTTGGGGCAGTGAAATAGCCATTCTTGAAGCATCCTAACCTTTCCAGTCTCAGTGCAGAGAGAGTTTACAAGGCAATGGGAGGCTTCAAGTAAAGGATTTCATTCCAAAATCTCATTGCTGGGATCGAGGAACAGACCAAGCAGGGGTTTCGTGGAGCAGCTGCTGCAGGGTACACCATGGAAGAAGGAGCTTGTTTCAAAATTGTTTCATTTCTCACAGGTCTCTGTTGAAATTAAGCCACCCCAATAAATCTCAAGTTTTCTCCTAATTTCTCCTTGGATGTTTCACCTAAGATTATTCCTTAACTCAAAACTGACTGAGTGAGATTTGCATATATATTGATAATTGTAAAGAAAGAGATGTTTTCGAGATATTTTCACAGCTTACATAACTCATGAATATAGAAACCATCATGTCTATATCACACCACTGTAGGCAAGCAAACATACAACCTAATGGAATTTCAAAGAACTTCAGAAAGAATTTCACTTGATTTTCTACACTTTGATCTTTTTCTCTAACCTTGTTATCATTTCATTTCTCTTTTGCTTTGAAGGTAAAAATGGGCAGGAGAATCGAGATTCCTGTGAACTGTTCCAAGTGATCAGTGCTAAAGATGGAACGAAGAAGTTTGGAATTCAAATGGAATTCGAAAGCAACCAGAGAAACCAGTCAAAGAATTGGAATCAGGAAAACTTATCTTCCACTGATGCTCCAATGCAAGACTTTCTTGCCCAACAAGGGAAAATAAGAAAAAAATATACTGGAAAAAGTGTGAAGCTAATCAAAGCTAAAGTACAAATAAATGAACCCTATTTAACCCAAAACAAAGGAGAAGATGCTATAAGAAGACACAAGGGAGAAAATTACAATGGGACTTTCATTCCTTCTCTTGGGAATAACTTCCTTACATCTCAAAAAGTGATTGACACAAAAGAGAAGCCTTATAAATGTTCGGAATGTGGAAAATGTTTTAGAACAAGCAGTCAATTTACTATCCATAAAAGGATCCACACAGGGGAGAAACCATATGAATGCATAGAGTGTGGAAAGACCTTTGCTCAAAGAGGTAATCTTACTTCCCATGAAAGGATTCACACAGGGGAGAAGCTGTATAAATGCATGGAGTGTGGAAGAACGTTTACTCATAGCAGTGGACTTAGAAGCCACAAAAAGATCCACTCAGGAGAGAAACCATATAAATGCATGGAGTGTGGAAAGACCTTTGCTCAAAGAGGTAATCTTATTTCCCATAAGATAATCCACACAGGAGAGAAGCCGTATAAATGCATAGAGTGTGGAAGGACGTTTACTCATAGCAGTGGACTTAGAAGTCACAAAAAGATCCACTCAGGAGAGAAACCATATAAATGCATGGAGTGTGGAAAGACCTTTGCTCTGAGCAGTACGCTTACTTCCCATGAAAGGATCCACACAGGGGAGAAACCATATAAATGTATGGAATGTGGAAAGACCTTTGCTCGTAGCTGTACACTTATTTCCCATGAAAGGATCCATACAGGGGAGAAACCATATAAATGCACGGAGTGTGGAAAGACATTTACTCAAAGAGGTCAACTTATTTTCCATCAGGTGATCCACACAGGGGAGAAGCTGTATAAATGCATGGAGTGTGGAAAGACCTTTGCTTATAATAGTGGACTTATTATCCACAAAAAGATCCATACGGGGGAAAAGCAGTATAAATGCATGGAGTGTGGAAAGATCTTTGCTTATAGCAGTGGACTTATAAGCCACAAAAAGCTCCACACAGGAGAGAAATCATATAAATGCATGGAGTGTGGAAAGACCTTTGCTCATAAATCTAATCTTATTTCCCATAAAAGAAGCCACACAGGAGAGAAGCCATATAGTTGCATGGAGTGTGGAAAGACCTTTGCTCGTAGATATAATCTTACTTCCCATGAAAGGATCCACACAGGGGAGAAACCGTATAAATGCATGGAATGTGGAAAGACCTTTGCTCACAGAGTTATTCTTATTTCCCATAAGATGATCCACACAGGAGAGAAACCATTTAAATGCATGGAGTGTGGGAAGACCTTTGCTTATAGTAGTGGACTTACTACCCACAAAAAGCTCCACACAGGAGAGAAACCATTTAAATTAATGGAATGTGGGAAGACCTTTGCTCAAAGAGGTCATCTTATTTCCCATAAGATGATCCACACGGGGGAAGCCAGATAAATCCATGGAATATTGAAAGGTTTACTCAGAATGGTCATCTTATTTCTCATAAAAGGATCCACACTCAGGAGAAACGATATAGCAACAGCAATTCCACTTAGACTTACATACCACTCCATAATGCTTTACCACACTCTGAGCAGGTTACAAAGTCAGCATATCATCCCCAGCAATCTGGGTCCTCATTTTGGCAACCTCCGAAGAATGAAAGACTTAATCAACCATGAGTCAGTCAGGGTTGAACTCCCGGCTGTGGGCAGTTAGCCTGTAGTACTGCATTCTAACCACTGACCCACCATGTCTCTAGATTTGTATGTGTGTGCATATTTTGCCTTTCTGATCCAAATGAGACAAGGTTGAATCCAACAAAATGAAACTTAATATAGAGAAAAGTAAGATTTTACACCTGGGCAGGAAAAACAGATTACAGGAAACCTGGCTCAGAAACAGTAACTGTGAGAGGGACCTTGGGAGTCCGAATGGATGATCACTTAAACATGAGTCACGTGTGTGCAGCAGCAGCCAAAAAAAGCCAATATAATCCTTGATTGTATAAACAGGCGTAGAATCAAAATCACATGAAGTATTAATGCCAGTTTATAAAGCCTTAATAAGGCTACATCTGGAATACTGCATCAAGTTTTGGTCATCGCATTACAAAAAAGATGTTTAGATTTTGGAGAAAGTGCAAAGAAGAACAGCTAAGATGATTAATGGCCTGAAGACTAAAACATATGAACATTTTCAGGATTTGGGTGTGGCTAGTGTGCAGAAAAGAAGGATTAAGAGTGACATGATAGCAGTATTCCAGTACCTGAGAGGCTGCCACAAAGAGGAAGGGGGCAATTTATTTTCCAAAGCACCAGAGGGCAGGACAAGAAACAATGCATGTAAAATAATCAAGGAGAGATGCAACCTTGAATTAATGAGAATCTTTCTTACAGTGAAAACAATTAACCATTGGAACAGCTTTCCTTCAGACATTGTGGTTGCGTCATCACTGGACATTTTTAAGAAGAGACTGGATAGTCACTTTTATGAAAGAGATCCTGTCGGGATATCAGTGGATCCTGAAATAGTATAGGATCTCCTGCTTCAGTGAAAGTGCGGATAGGCGCTCCAGCCGCCGAGGACTTGTACCGGGCTTAGGACTTCGGGCAACAGGGCTCTCAATTCTTGGATGGACAGAAGGAGAAAGTTGAGTCTGGGGGGGATGGGAGGTTTCTTTAAAAACAAAAAAGAATCTTGCGATTCACTAGTGGATCCAGAAGTGAATGAAAATCTCTCCAGCAACTTCCATCTTATCAGTTTGGAACCACAAACTCCTATCAGTAGATTTTTGTCTAAAACTAGGTTAATTTTGGGTTGGGCCATAAAAATGATTCATGCCATCCGATAACTCTGTTTGTTTACCTACTAAAAGTAATTATATGATTTGAAGTTGTTTTCAATAAAATGCCAAATTGAAACTTTTCCATTTCCATTTATTTAAAAATACTCCAATTTTTTTTGCTGAAATATTTTTTTCTCATCTAGAGTTTGCATTTCTTGTTCGAACAAATAGTCACGGTTTTCACTTTGTAAAGCCACTGCCTTTATTTTAGCTATTCCAGAAAGATATTTCATGTTACCAGATGCAAATGGGCTTATTATGAAAAACCAGAAAAACCCACACCTGAAATGTTGTTCTTTGTCTGGGTGGCAATCAGATTAGACCCCTGTTTTAAATTACAAATAAAGAATGTTCTTCAGCATTATAGAATTAAGTGCTATTAAAAACAATCCCTCAAGAGAAACATTGTTAGCAAAGTACTTTGAGTTGGAGCAGACCTTTTAAGGCCCTTCTTGGGGGGGCTCATCCAGACACCCCATTAATCCATTTAAGAATTGTGTCAGTTGGAGCATTTGCTGAAGAGGGGGTCAAGAGGGATCCCATCCAAGGCTCTGCTGTAATCTTGGGATCTGTCTGATCTCCTCAGTCCTCATTGCCACCCCCTAGTCTTTCCCCAAGAGCCCCCCTCTGAATCCCTGACCCCCTCATTCTGGGCTTGAAAGTAAGAGAGAGAGGAAGTTTTGGAAGCTGATTCGAAACAAATCTCGGGAATCCACCAAATCGGAGGAAAAATGGGGAACTCGGTCACAAAACAGGAGATGTAGAAACCTCAGATGCCTTTGCACAGATGCTCAAAGCACGAGGAAGAAACAAGGTGAAGGTGGAACCCAAAGGCAGGTGTGACATTGTCATCATTGAAACTGGGATTCTGTCACAGCTTGGAACTGTCTCCTGCAATGGGTGAAAGCAAGAGAGACCCTGCCTGGAGACTGATGATGCTGTATAACGGGGAATTCTGATTGGTTCTGCTTCTTCTGGCTACTCTCCTCCCTGACTTTGAGTGAAGGAAGCTTTTTTTTAACCCTTTCCCCTCCACTCCACTGAAGATACTACCCAGCTAGGACCGAAACTTCCGGAAAGCGACCACAAGTCGGGAGGAGGAAACTTCGCCCTCCAAACTCTTCATGTCCCAACCAGTCCAGAGCCACCAATTCCGCTTCTGGGGCAGGAAACATCCAGGTCTCCCCATTCCTGGGGGGGGGGACGCTGGTGGGCTCTGCTGGGGTCCTCCAGCTGTTGATGGGGGGCGGCGTCGGGGATCCCTGGAAGCGAAGCGGGGAAGGAGACGCCCGGGAAGGAGGGGATGGGAGGGACCCAGGGATGCTGGGGGGCAGAGTGGGGGGACGGAAGGGGCTGGGACCCCCAGGAGAGACTTTGGGGAAGGGATCGAGGGCAAGAGAGGCTTCAAGGCCCGAATCACTTCGGAGCCCACAAAGTTTCTTCCCTTAAAAGAGGAAGGCGGCAGAAAGCGGAAACAGGGAAAGAGGCATTTTCAGACGGGAATCCACAAATGCCGCCAAAATATATAAGAAAAAGAATTTTGGCACCTTCAGAAACTTCACTTTTTTCTTCTCAATCTCAGATTTGAGGCTTTGAAGAGTCAAGCAAGAGAGGAGCTTGGATCCCTTTGGGGGAGCCTGTGAATTTGGGGAGGGGACCAAGGACCCCCCCCACCCCATAATCCCCCATTCCTCAATCAGGACCCAGAGGGGGGGCTTTGAGAGAAGGGGATTTGGGGGGGTCTGAGTTGCTCCTCAGAAATCAACTCCCCCAAACTCTCCCTTTTGTGAAGGGGGGAGACCCTCCCTTTGAGGTGGTCTTGGGGGGGCTCTGGGGGGGTCTTTTGGGAGCGGACAGGAAACTGCAACGGATCCCAACTAGGAATCTTTTTTTCCATCTTTCGGGATCCCTTTTAATTTCTTGCTGCCATTTGCATGGGAACATGACTTAAGAACCAGAATATTATTTTGAGGAGTGAAGAGGCCTGAATAACCGACTCGAATTTTTCTCTACACTCAACTATCTCCTCCATCGGGTAAAGTCAAGGGAGACTCTGCCCCTAATTCTTATTGGCCCTCCTCTTTCTGGACACTCCCAAGTCGAAGACCCTTCCAGACCCCCCACTTCTAGACCCCCCTCCATTCCGCCTTTGGGGCTGGGAGCCTCTGCGTCTTCCTCCCTTCCCTTGGGGGGCGCTTGTAGGGCGGCACCCATGGGCTTTGTTGGGCTCCTCCTGATGCTGCTGGTGGGGACGCAGGGCCGGATCCCCGGGAGCGAAGGGGGGAAGGAGACCCCTGTAAGGAGGGGGCTGGGTGGAGGAGGAGGGGGTTGGGAAGGACCCCCCCCTCCAAGGGGGAAGGAAACTGCTGGGTCTCCAGAGCCTCCAACAGCCTTGGTCTCTGTGTGGTCTCCTCCCCATTCCTGCCCATATTGCCGAGGAGGATAAGGAGCCCCACCCCCTGTTCCCCTAATTGTAGCCAAAGTGGGGAGTCATAGCCGGGTTCCTCTCCCTCCCTCACCCCCATTGTCTGGGTCTGAATCGGCTGTCTTGAAAGAGGAAGGGAAGGAAAAGCGGAAATAGGGAAACTGAGGCATTTTCAGCCCTGAATCCACAGAAGGAAAAAGAAGCATTGGAGCAAAAAGATTTTGGCATCTGCAAACACTTCCGTTTTTTTCTTCCGAATCTCAGAATTGAGGCTTTGAAGGTCAGGCAGGAGGGGACCTTCAGTCCTTTCTGGGGGAGCCCCTGGATTTGGGGAGGAGACCAAGAACCCCCACCCTCATAATCCCCCTTTGCTCTCCTGGGATTTTGAGGGGAACCAAGGGAGGGGGATATTGGGGGCTCCGAGTTGCTCCCTTCAATCGGCTCTCAAAAACTCTCTTTTGTGAGGGGGGGGCTGGAGACCCTCCCTTTGAGGGGGACTTCAGGGGGTCTTTTGGGGGGGGGAGGGGGTGTTGAAAGGCAGGCAAATGCCTTTCTTCCAAGGGTTCTTTTTTCCTGCTGGGAGTGCTCCAGAGCAAGGACACAGACAGAGGCAGCTACTTGGAAGCAGGTTCCTTTAATTTTCAGGAAGGCAAGAGATAGCAAGAAGTCTGCGTTCCTGGGGCTAGCTAGCTTTGTGTAATAAACTCCCGATTTTTATACCTTTTCTCCTTTTGTGTGTGAGTGCTTAATGTTTTAAATCCTGTCAGGGGGGTTGTCTTCATTTCCGTCAGGGGGTAAACTCTGCGGGGTGGTTTGATTGGATTATTAGTTTCATCCTAATGTTTTCTTATATTTGTTTAGTGGCAATCTCCTGTCTTTTGTCTATTTGTTTTGCTGATTTGGCATGGCCTTTTGTTTGTAAGGGATTTCTTTTTCTTGTTTCCCTAGCTTTCTTAATTACTTTGGCTTTTGTCTAGGGGGCTTCTTTCAATACCTTTTATCAAATCTCTTTTCCTATGCAAGTTTGCTTTTATGGCTAGCCTGATGTTCCCCTCGCATTTTTCCTGCTTGGGTGTCACCCCTGTCCTGGTGAAGTTCCCTTTCCACAGCGGGATAGGAAACAGGTGTGATCCTCGACAATCATCCAAAGGCCGGTGCTTGGGCTAAAGATTCGGGGAAGAAGAAAGCGGGGAGACGCAGGGAAGATGAAGAGTGAAGGGTGGGAGACCCCAGGAGAATCGATCTAGATGTCCTGCTTGTGCCCCCTCCCCATATTTCCTCCCAAAGGAAGAGAGAGAGTGGGGGGGGTATGGATATTACTTCCCCTCAAGCCCTCCCCTCCCCCCCCAATTCCTCCCCCTTTAAATCCCATGTGCTCCCTGCAGAGACTTCACGGGATTCCTGCACCAGGTGAGCCCCCTGCCTGCCTTTTTCTATCAGGGGAAGATGGGGGAATCCCTTAAGGAGGCTCCTCCCCCTTTTTTCTCCCCTTCCCCTCCAGACCCCCCCTCCCCCAGCAAGTCTGCCTTCTTCTCTAGAGCTGACAGTCCCCCTATCCTCCTCCAGGGGCGCCTTCCTCCAGTATCTCAAAGGAAGGTTCCCCCACCACCCTCCCTTCTTCCGTGGGACCCTCCTTCTCCTCTACCAAAGGCTGGGGATGATGGGCTTTGGACTCCAAACTGATGGCCTTCCTCCTCTTCCTCCTCCTCTTCATCCCATTTCCTGCACCAGTGGAAGCACGAATGCTGCTTCCTCAACGGGACGCAGCGGGCGAGGCTCCTGCTCAGGTACTTCTACGACCTCGATATTCGTCGATAGCGACCTCGGGAAATACAGGCCATCATGGAGTTGGGGGTGGGGGGTGGAGGCGGAACAATGATAAAAAAAGTTCCTGAAGTACACGAAGGCCCAAGTGGACTCAACTACTGGCTGTTCAACTATGAGGCAGCCAAGAGAGAGGATCACCTCATCGGCCAGAGACGTGAGTCCTGGGTGGGGGGGCTCTTCCCTGGGAGGGGAGACTGGGACCCCTTTTTCATTTCCTTCCTGGACATTCAGATAGGACAGCACTCCAGAGGGTTAACACCATTGCCCAGAAGATCATGGGTTGCCCTCTCTCCTCTTTGGAAGAGCTTTAGAGCTCCCGCTGCCTTAAGAAAGTTCAAAACATCCTCAAAGATCCATCTCATCCTGGGCACCCTTTTTTTGAACTATTACCATCTGGCAGACGGTACAGAATAATAAAAACAAGGACAAACAGGCTGAAAAACAGCTTCTATCCCAGGGCAGTAACTATTGAATTCTACTGTCTAGTGCAATATTAATGCAATATCGGGTTTTCAATTCAATTGTATAGAATGTGAAGGATGTGTGTTTGTGTTTATTTTCATAGTCATGATATGCACTGAAGATGGTGTTTGGTTTTGTTGTACGAGGTGCAAGTGTCAATAAAATAAAATAAATTCTCCTGGATGAGGGTTTAATCTCTTTCTCTGTTCTGCCCTCTCAAGAGCTACAAAATCTTCCTCTTCCCAGGATCCAAACTCGCTCCCTGTCTGGAATCTGGGATCCTTTTGACCCCCCCCCAGGAAATCCACCCAAATATGATGTTCTTTTCTGGGGGGAGGAGGGGAATCCAGCCAGGTCTCTCTCCCTCCCTCCCTCCTGCTCAATGCAGGCAGTCCTCCACTTACAACAGTTCATTTAGCGACCGTCCAAAGTCACAAGGGCAGTGAAAACAATGACTTCTGACCCCTTTTTCACCCTTCTGAAAGTTGCAGCCTCCCCAGGGTCCCCTGATCCAAATCCAGGTGCTTGGCCACCGACTTGTTCTTACGATGGTCGCAGCCTCCCAGGGGTCATCTGATCCCCTTTTGCGACCTTCCGATAAGCAAAGTCCCTGGGGAAGCTGGATTCACTTAACGACCAGGTTACTCATTTAACAACTGCGGTGATTCACTTAACGACTGTGGCAAGAAAGGTCGTAACATGGGGGCAAAATTCATGGAATAAACGTCTCACTTAGCAACAGAGATTCTGGGCTCAATCGGGGTCGTAAGTCGAGGATTCCCTGGATATTCGTCTGTTTCTTTCTCTC